CTCAAACTCACAGAGACCCGCCTGCCTCTGCCTCCCGAGTGCTGGGACTAAAGGCGTGTGCCACTACCACCTGGCGAAATTTGAAATTTAATTACTTCTACTCATGTTTTTTCAATGATATGTTTATGTAAATGTTACAGCATTTGGTTTGTTTTTTGTTTTGTTTATGAAGGAGCTTCATGTACCCAGGCTGTGCTCACTTTATGTAGCTGAAGCTGGCCTTGAGTTTCTGACTCTGCTGCGAGTTTGGATTATAGACATGAGACACCATGGGGACTTCTATATTTGATTTAAAGGAAGTGACACTATTTAAGTCACATTGAAAAAGTTTTAAGTTTACCACATTCAATAACCTGGGACAAAACTAAAAACATAATGAGTCACAGTGCACCAAAAATAAATATACAATATCAGAAACTTTAGAATGATGAACTCCCATGTGGTAAGAATATGGAAGTAAGCCGGGCGTTGGTGGCGCACGCCTTTACTCCCAGCACTCGGGAGGCAGAGGCAGGCGGATCTCTGTGAGTTCGAGGCCAGCCTGGTCTACAGAGCGAGTTCCAGGACAGCCTCCAAAGCCACAGAGAAACCCTGTCTCGAAAAAACAAAAAAAAAAAACAAAACAAAAAACAAAAACAAAAAAAAGAATATGGAAGTAGAGGGGTAGTCAAAATTCTTTTGTAAAACAACAAGGCAGGTTTTTGAATCATTTTTTGATCATTTTGTGTGGGTTTTCAAGACAGGGTTTCTCTGTGTAGCCTTGGCTGTCCTGGAACTCCCTCTGTAGACCAGGCTAGAGTTTAACTCACAGATGTCTATCTACCTAACTCTACCTCCTGAGTGCTGGGATTAAAGGTGTGCTCCATCACCACCCCACCATGTACTGATCAATTTCTTTACTTTCTGTTAAATTTTTTAATTTATTTTTATTTTTTATGTACATTGGTGTTTTTGCCATTGGTGTCAGGTCTCCTGGAACTGGAGTTACAAACAGTCGTGCGGAAGAAAAATAAAAAAGCCAGGCAGTGGTGGCACCCATCTTTAATTCTAGCACTTGGGAGGCAGAGGCAGGTGGATCTCTGAGAGTTCGAGACCAGCCTGGTCTACAAGAGCTAGTTCCAGGACAGCCTCCAAAGCCACAGAGAGACCCTGTCTCGAAAAAAGAAAAAAAAAAAAAGAAAAAGAAAAAGTAGTTGGCAGGTGGGCAGTGGTGGCCCACATCTTTAAACACAACACTTGGAAGGCAGAGGCAAAATGATCTCTGTGAGTTCAAAGCCAGTCTAGTCTACAAAGTAAGTTCCTAGACAGCCAGGATATACAGAGAAATCCTGTCTCAAAAAAGCAAAGCAAGAGAGAGCTGGAGAGATGGTGCAGTGGTTAAGAGCACACGCTGCTCTTCCAGAGGACCCAGGTTCAATTCCCAGCACTCACATGGCAGCTCACAGCTGTCTGTACCTCCAGATCTAGGGGATCTGACACCCTCATGGAGGCAAAACACCAATGCACATAAATTTTTTAAAAAAAACAAAAGTCAATAAGCAGCTCTGCAAATTTGAGATTTTTCTCAATTCTTCATAATCTAGAAAATATAGCAGTAGCTCCTTTTGTAGAAATTATTTTTTGCACTATCTTTTCGAGGGGTGGGGTGGGAATAATAGGCTGGCTACCTACCCAAGTTGGCCTTGTTAACAATGTCTGCCTCTGCCCAAATGATGCTGGATAACAACTCTGCCTCAACATGGCCCTCTAGAAATTTTTAACTTAAATATCCAAAATAGATTTTATTATCTTTTTTACCTTCAACAAGGTAGGAGGTATGTGGGCTTTCAGGACAGAAATATAAAAACAGGACAGAGGAGTGGGTAAATGGTTCAATGGTTAAAGCAATTACAGCACAAGCAACAAGGCCCAGAGTTCACACTTAGAACACGAAGAAAATAAATCAGGGTATGAAAGCTACAAAGATAATTCAATGGATTAAGGCACTCTTCCAGTAGACCAAGGTTCCATTCCCACCACCCACATGGCAGCTCACAACCATCTGTAACTGCAGTTCCAGGGGACCAGACACCACTTACTAAGCCCGGGGATGCATGTGGTACAGATATGCAGACAAAATACACATACACATAAATTTCTAAAAACTTAAGTTCAGGTATGCATGGTGGCTCTATATTATAATACTAGGGCTTGGAAAGTAGAGATGGGGAAGCCCTGGACAAGCTGACCAGCTACACATGTAGACCAACTGGCAAGCTTCCAGTTACTAGAGAGACCTTGCCTCAGTAAATAAAATGGAGAAAAACTAAGAAAAGCACCTGATATCAACCTCTGGCCTCCACATGCACATCCAGACACACACATAAACATTCCTCCCCCAAAAAAGAAGCAGAAAACTAAAATAAGTGAATTTTTTTAATGGGGAGGAGATATGTAAAGGTGCCTTCAAATACAAGTGCTCTTGCACACGGAGTCATCTCCTCAGCCTATTTTCTATCTTTTAAAGCACTATTTCTCACATAGGTATCTGGGGCACAAAAATAAGCAAATGTTCTAATTTATTATTTCAAGAAATTAAAGAGATGTAAAATTATTCTTCCTAGTTGTCACAATCTCCAAATCATTAAACTAGCTAACCCAGAAAGATCATAATGCACAAAGTACTGTAGAGACTTAATCAGACATGGCAGTATGTGCCTATAATTCCAGTCCTTGAGAGGCTGAGGCAAGAAATCACCTCAAGTTTAAGGCCTGGATAATACAATGCACTAAATAGGCAGGGAAACAGAAAGAGTCCACCACAAAAAATAAAAAAAAAAAGATATAGAGACTGCTGAGATGCCTGTAATCTTACCACTTCCAGTGCTAAGGCCTGCTGCCTAGGCTACAAAGTGAAACCTGGTCTCAAAAAACTAAAGCCTAATAAATAAGTAAAATTAATTCACATAATTAATTTCGAGATTTGCATACTCATAACTAAAATAGCACCTTCTCCTTTATTAAAAGGAAGCAATCTTGAGGTGTCCCTGAAGTAGAAAGTAGAGTTTCTGTGGAAGAAAATCTCTTCCCCACCAAAAAATTATTTCTATAGTTGTCTTTTCTTAGAGGAACCTACCAGTACAGTCACAAAGACAGATTCTAAGTGGGCTGGGTGTAGCTCAACTGGAAGAGCATTTGCCTAGTATGCATGATGCCGTGGGTTCTATCCTCAGCAACCCATAGAAGTGGGCATGGTGGTGCAAGCCTGTAATCCCAGCATTCACGGGGCAAAGGGAAGAGGACTGCTGCATGAGGCAATCATTTATGTGAGACTGTATCCCCAAAAGTAAGTAAATAATGTATATAGAGAAAACATTCAACAAAAGACATGCACAGGGTTTACAAAACAAAATATAGACTGAATAAATAATATGACTCAGATTTGGAGAAACAAGTAAGATTAGGCAGCAAAAGAGTGAACCGACTGAGTTCTTATTTTCTTCTTCATATTTTTCTAAATTTCTCCATGATGAACATTGAATTCTGAAAGTCTCATAAAAAAAACAAAAACCAGGAACAGGGCAATGGTGGTGCATGCCTTTAATCCCAGCACCTCGGGAGAAGAGTCAGGAGAACTCTGAGTTCGAGACCAGCCTGATCTGTCTTTTAGAGGAAAGAGTAATCTACAGTGTTCTACAGTGAGTTCAAGGACTGCCAGGACTACACAGAGAAACTCTGTCTCGGAAAACCAGAAAATAAATTAATAAATAAACCAGGACCAGAAAGATTACTCAGTAAGTAAAAGTGCTGGCCACCAAGCCTGATGACCTGAGTTTGATCCTCTCTATGTGCTCCATGGCCATCCCCACGTGCCCCACCCCACACGCCACAAACATTCTCTCTCTCTCTCTCTCTCTCTCTCTCTCTCTCTCTCTCATTCCCTCTCCCCACCCCCCTCCCCCTCTCCCCCCCCTCTCTCACACACACACACACAACACACACACACACTTTTTAAGGGGAAAATACACCTTATAGCCTGCAAAGGTTCACTTATTAGGACCTATACTATGTTGTCCATTTATAAAAGAGGTTGAAATGCTAATGCTACTAAAGTTAATGTCCTGTTATTTTTCTGTTACACTTTCAATGATGAAATTTCAATTTCTCCTTAAAGTTCCGTTTCTTCAAAACTACACGTTTTAAACTTTTTTTCCAAAACAAGATTTCTCGCTAATACTTATTTTTAAATGACTTCTAAATTCCTTATAACAAAATTGCGCACGGGGGAGGTGGGGTGCCCACAAATCACAATTTCGTCGGTCCACCTTCGCTTTGGCTAAATAAAAGTGAAGGCAGGGTAAACTACACGTCCCGCCATGCATTGCTGCCTTATTCAGAGTAGGTCTCTACGGAAACAGAAAAAAAAATTCTCCAAGTCCCACCTGTTACTTCGTTTCTAAACACCTCCTGCACTTTCAGCTCGGACGGCAAACACAAAAGCCTCGTGACCTCTCGTTGGCTCCCAGAGCCAGATAAGCGGGGGGGGCCCGGGTCTGGTGGCACGGTTGCCTCGGCGGGGAAACGCCACCGAGCTCCAGCGCTCCCCTCTCCTTTCCGGGGCTGGATGCACGCACAAGCCTGCTCCTGTCTGCATCCAATCGGGGCTCTCCAAGGCGCACAAGGGAGAAGAACCGGTTACTGGGCAAGCACAACACACGGTGCCGAAGCAAGGGCTAGCAGTGTGGGAGCGACAGCGACGTGAACCCCGACAGGCAACCTCGCAACACCGAGGGGTCCAGTCGCAGCCCCCGGGAGAAGCGGCAGGCGCGCGGCCAACCCCTCGCGCCGGCGCCTCGGTCTCCTTAGGGCTCGCCAGCGCGACCCTAACCGCCGCCCTCTGCGCGCGCTTTCGTGCCCCTTCGGCCCGGTCGCGGGGCCAAGCGACCTCCCTTCTCCTGCGACGAGGCGCCGGCGAGAAAAACGAGCGCCCACCGGCCTTCCCCTCTGCTCCCTCCTCTTACCGTCTTGGCGGCCTCCGCCCAGGTCCTGCCCTTCTTCCTACGGCCCTTTTCCCTCATGTCGGGTCTTGAACTGACTGGGAGGCTTCCGTGCCCCGGCTCCGGCTGCCTTCCCTTGCTTGCTGCGCCCTGCACTGCTTTTCCCGCGGTGCCGGGAAAGGTGGGAGAAAGGGGAAGTCGGAGCGGAGAAGCAACTCAGCCAAGCGGCGGCCGCGGAGGCGCGCAGTGGGAGGGGGGGGGTCTACGGGGCGGCCGGTCCTGCTGCTGTTGCCACTGCTAACGCCGCTGCCATATTGGGTTCTTACTGTACAGGCAGCCGCTGTGGTCATGTGACCGCTCCCGCGCGGCCGTCACTACTGTACGCAGCCGGCCGCGCGAACGAGCGCGCACTGGGCGCGCACCCCCAGCCCCCCCACGGCCTCAAAGCGGAGAGCCGGCTTGTCTGGAGCGCTTCGCCACGCCCCCGAACTTCCGGTCTCCGGCCCCGCCTCGGGCGCATGCGCGTGACGGAGGGCCGCCCAGAGTCTGTGGGGGCGGATTCTGGCGGCCACACCCACTGCGAAGATCTGCCGGCGGAAACGGAATCCGCTCCTTCCGGGAAAGGCTGATTGAGCCGTTGCCGACCGCGTGTGTGCGAGGGGCGGCTCTGGAGACTTAAAGAGGCCGACGCTCTCCCAGGGGATATGCTTCAGGTTTTATTTTATTACGGTGCAGGCTCTTGTAGGGAAGGCCGACTTTACGCTCCAGATCCTCTGTTTCTCCACGCCTGTGCCCTTTAAGTTCGTTTTTACAAAGCTTATCTTTTTAAAGATGTACAGCAAGCAGTTCTCGTCTGTTACTGATCTCAGTTTAATAGATGAGATAGGTTAGATTGGTTTGCCAAACTCGCATATAGGATGTGGAGAAACCCAAAACCAGGTTGTTAGCTCACGAGCCTTACCTCTCAAACTTATATGACTTTCAGGCCACTGGAAACCTCATTTGCATTTTTCCATGTGATTAGTCTCATCGAAGAAATGTCTTTTATCTCAGGGACCTCAGGCATCCGTTAAATATTTGTTGAATGAGTCGGCTATGTCTGGTCAAGACCTAGTCACCATTCATAATGTCAGTAACACCCTCCTGAAAAATCCAGAACATGGCATTTTACCTCAGGGTTTTTGTTGGTTGGTTGGTTGGTTGATTAATTTTGTTTTTTGTTTTGTTTGTTCCCTCCGGAATACTGGGATTATAGGTGTGTGCCACCACGGCTGAGAGTATTTGTTGTTACAAGCAACATAGAGTGAATGTATAGGGGCTAGAAATAAACCTCAACTCAAAAGCCCCCGCCTCCCATGGAGAGTGGTTATTGAACATGCAACCTAGGACGAGCCTTGTACCACTCAGCTATACTCCCAACCACTTTGTTGTTGTTTTTACTTTGAGGCAGAGTCTCACTAAATTATCCAGACTGTTCTTGAATTCATTTTGTAGCATAGGCAGGCTTTGAACTTGCCATCCTCATGGCTCAGCCTCCCTCCAGAGTACCTGGGGTTAGATGAAGGCACAACTCTAGAGATAATCTATTGTCTAGCATGTAAGAGATCCCTACATGGGTTTCAGCAGCTCATAGGACCTCTTTTTCTTATTGGCAATATTTTTGGTGTGTGCTGGTATACCCTTGTCATCTTAGCACTGAGGAGATTCAAAGCTTAAGGTTACCCATAAGGTCTGCTGTGGAGCAAGTTCTAGGCCAGCCATGGCTGTGTTAGACCCTGTCTCAAAAAACAATCAACAATAGCCCAGGTGGCCAACAGCACACACTTTTGATGCCAACACAAGGTAGGCAGAGGCAGTGGAATCTCTAAATTCAAGGCCAGCCTGGTCTACAGAGTGAGTTCCAGGACAGCTAGGGCTGTTACACAGAGAAACTCTGTCTTGACAAAAACAACAAAATAACAATAAAAAGTGTGTGTCTGTGTGTGTATGTGTGATAAGTGTGAATTCCTCTTTGGCTTTTTGAAACAGGGTCTCTCTTTGTAGCCTTGGCTGTGGTGGAACTTTGTATGTAGACTTAAGATAGACCCGGTACTAACAGAGACCACCTGCCTCTCTCTGCTTCCTGAGTGTTGGAATTAAAGGGGTGCATGATCCCAGCCTACATGAGGATTTTTTTGAGAAAGAGATTGATAACCTTTCCTCGATTTTAAATTTATTTTTATTTATTTATGCTAGGGACAGAATCCAGGACTTCAACTTGTAGACAAGTACTCAACCACTGAGCTTACATCCTTATCTCTCAGTTCAAAAGGGCTCTATTAACCAGAAAGAAAAAAATGTTAGGCAGTCTGAGAGAGCATCAGCTGCTGGACACAGGGTTCTGGCAATTGATATGAGTATATATATTCTCAGCAATTCCTTTAATAACTCATGGCACTGTACATAAGATTCATGGTACATGCCACCTTTGTACAAAGTCTGTGTCTTTATCCAATTCAAGCCCAACTCAAGCTGAAGCAAGGAGGTTGTTGAAGGCTTGAGGCCCTAAGCATAGTCTTGACCAATGTGCCATCCTAATATTAGTCATGCCTGAGAACAGTCTATAGATTGGTCCATGCTTCTGACGTTATGTAGAGCAATAGCAACGGCGTTGTGTGACAGACATTTCCTGGGGAAACACAGAGACACAGCACACTAATCTACTCACCCCGGAAAGAGAGCCCACAACGGACTTTGATGAACCAATGAGTCTTGTATTGGGGTCACTAACAAGAGCACGGGTGAGTGGTTATTTACAAGGAGCAGGGATGACTGACAAAAGCAGGTGTATCACCAGAAAGCCCAGCCACCAACACAGATGGCAGCTCAAGACTGTAACCATGGAACGCTCCTCCAGCTCTCTCTCTCTCTCTCTCTCTCTCTCTCTCTCTCTCTCTCTCTCTCTCTCTCTCTCTCTGTCTCTGTCTCTGTCTCTGTGTGTGTGTGTGTGTGTGTGTGTGTGAGTGTGTGGTTTTCCAGATCAGAATCTTGTTTGTTTTTACACAGGGTTTCTCTGCGTATTCCTGGCTGTTCTGGAACTTGTTCATTTAAGTTGTAAGAGCAAGTTGAGAAAAGGCCTAAGCTAAGGCCAGGCTTTCATAACTAACAAGTCTCTGTTGTTATTTGTGAACTCGAGGCCCAAAGAAAAATCCATCTATAGTCTGTAGACCAGGCTGGCCTCAAACTCACAGAGATCCTCCTGCCTCTGCCTCCCAAGTGAGGAATTAAATGTGTTTGCTAGCACTGCCCTCCCTGAACAGAATCTTAACCCCAGTAACTGTTAACTGCCATTTTTAACATCTTGCAGAACCCTCAAGAATTTTCCAAGTTTTTTTGTTCTCTGGGCATGTGACCTTCTGTTACCATCTGAAGCTCCTGAGCCTCCTTTTCCTTCCATTTGGAGGGAATAGAGGAATACACCCTTCAGCAAGTGGCTATATAGGGGGAAACTAGATGGTCTGGGCCGTAATTCCAATCTGAGTTATATCCCACATGTGAGAATTTGGACATACTCACCAATGAATGTGAGCTATTGTATCTTATTACCTTGTCATCAAAGAGGGCAAAATCCCCACTTTTTCCTCTTCTGTGGAAGCTACCACTTCACTACTAAGTACAACAGACTTACTAAGTACAAGATTTAGCTTTGCTCTGTGGCCATCAGGAGCATAGAGCAAAAGAGAAGACAGATAATATGTTGGATTGCAACCTTGACATAATCCAGAGCCAGACACAATGGAAAGCTGAGGCAGGAGGATTATGAGTTCTAGATAGCCTGGATTATGTACCAAGTTCTAGAGTCATTTTCAACTATGAATTAAATACTGGAAACTGGAGCTGGAGAGATGGCTCAGAGGTTAAGAGCACTGGCTGCTCTTCCAGAGGTCCTGAGTTCAATTCCCAGCAACCACATGGTGGCTGACAACCATCTGCAATTCAATATGGTGCCCTCTTCTGGCGCGTAGACAGAACACTGTATATGTAATAAATAAATAAATCTAAAAAAAAAAAATACTGGAAACTGGAAGGGAACATGTACGTGTCTGTGTGTTCATTACTATATATGCAATGTTTTTTATCTATATATTCCATTTTATTTCTTCTGTATGTATGTGCACGCATGCAGGGCACACGTGTGGAGGTCAGCGAACATCTTTTAGCAGTTAATTTTATCTTTTAATCCTGTGGGTCCCCAGATCAAACTCAGGTTATCAGTCTTAGCAACAAGTACCTTCACCTGCTGAGCCATCTCACTGGCCAACAGCTGCATTTTGTTTATTTGTTTGCTTGTTTTTTGTGGCTGCTGTTGTAGTCTTTGGTTCTTGAGACACGATCTCACTACTGCAGATGCATTTTTTTTTTCTGACTGTCTATATATAAGGATGACCTAGGCACCGGAGCATGGAGAGAAAATTAGCAATATGACTTCAACTGGACTGGACCGCAGGTGGCTAGATGTTGTGGGCCTAGAGGAAACAGGAAGGAAAGCAGAGAACTGGAGGTCAGCCAGAAGTATCTGGGAACAGCCCAGCTGTGTGATTCTTTAGTTAGCACAGGCTTTGTCCAGCCAGATGTCCTCAGCATCTCCTTGGGTCGTCCCCCCCCCCCCCCCGAGGAATTTGACTACTCATTCTGAAGTTGTCTTCTTCTTCTTCTTCTTTTTTTTTTTTTTGGTACGTGTGGGGGGTTGAGACAGTTTTTCTCTGTGGCTTTGGAGACTGTCCTAGAACTAGCTCTTGTAGACCAGGCTGGCCTCGAACTCACAGAGATCCGCCTGCATCTGCCTCCCGAGTGCTGGGATTAAAGGCGTGCGCCACCACCGCCCGGCTCAATGTTATCTCTTAAAAGCTGGACTGACAAGGTCGGGGATTCAGCTCAGTGGTAGAGCACTTGCCTAGCAAGCACAGGGCCCTGGGTTTGGTCCTCAGCTCAGAAGAAAGAAAAAAAAAGATGAAATAGCAAAACAAAAAACCACACAACAAGGTAACTAAAAAGATGGACTGACTTATTCAGTGAATATTCATTTTTATATCAGGTATGATGGTTCATGCTTGCAATCCTAGTACTCAGAGATGCAGAGGCAGGAGGATTGCTATGAGTTCCATGCCAGCCTGTCCTATACAGTGAGTTTCTGAACAGTGTGGACTATATAGTTAGACCTGTCTGCAAAGAAAATCACAAAAATATATTTTTAGTAAGACATGGTAATGCCTCAAGTCCTAGTGACTCAGGAGGATGGCTTGCGCTCAGGGTTTCAAGGCCCTGTCTCAAGAAATAAAACAAAACCAAACATGGTGGCACACAACTTGAATTTTCAACACTAAGAAGGTTTCAGGAGAATTAAAAATTCAAAAATCAGAAAGAAACG